GCTCAAAACCGCAGTCCACGATGGCCCTCAGCAGCTCTGGCTTCAGCAGAAAGTCTCTGAAGCCTGAGCTGTGGATGGACACGTATGAGCCCTTCACCTCCTTCTTGCCCACCGGAGCGGTGCTTTCTGGGGCTCCTTGAGGCTCATCGTCCTCTTCATAATCCAGCAGCTCGTTGTCAACATCATTCTCAGCCATTCTGGAGACAAAAGGAGTGAGAGAGCAATTAAATCACACCGTCAGACGACTCGCACGTCCATGGTTCAATGGAGGGACCACCACTGAGAAAGTGGACCAAGCCTGGAGAAGGTTAGAAAGTCTAAGTTGACATCTAACCATCAAATTAAACACACAAGACAGAAACCATGTAAACAAACCCAGAAACCTCAGACTTAGCCTCTTACCACAGACACACTTTTGAAAGTCACAAATGTACAAGAATTTGCCATTTTACAAGTACTTTGGTGGTACCAAAGAACAATGCAATAAAACTCCACACTGAACTAACATACACGTGCAAAATGACAATTACATGGTTCTCAAAGTCAAAAATAAAAACAAATGTATAAGACTTAAAGGCACAATATGTAAGTTTTCGCTGCTAGAGGGCGCGTATTCAAAATAAACAAAGAAACAAAGGCGTAGTTTGATGACACCGTGACTGAGTGTGGAATCATGGGAGTTGTCGTCTTCATCCCCACAGCCGATGCAATCTGTTGGGACTTGGGCAGAAATCATGTTCATGGATGAGCAAATGTATTAAAGATTTATTAGCATTGTAGTATGAAGCAGAGTGAGGCGGAAAGTCGTCGACGCGAAACAAGGCCGCTGAACAAGCGTGACACGAGCAAATTATTTTTTACCATGATTTACAGAAAACAGCCACTAAAATGTCATTCAGTGTAACAATCTTGTCAGGTATTATTTACCACAAGAATCAGTTTATGACATATTAAAAGACTAAGTCTTACCCCAAATACTTCTTAATTGCAATTTTACATTCTGAAACTGTGCCACTACACCATTTTGGACATTTGTCAGCAAGAATTGTGTACTCATTTAAAATTGCAATAAAATATAGTACGCCAGCCACTAAAATGTCATTCAGTGTAACAATCTTGTCAGGTATTATTTACCACAAGAATCAGTTTATGACATTAAAAGACTAAGTCTTACCCCAAATACTTCTTAATTGCAATTTTACATTCTGAAACGGTAACAACTGAAATGGTGCCACTACACCATTTTGGACATTTGTCAGCAAGAATTGTGTACTCATTTAAAATTGCAATAAAATATAGTACGCTCACTTACTCTTTTATATATTTTAATACGTGCAGTTCAGAATAAGTGTTGTTTCAATTTTTACATAAATACATGTTACACTGAATGAAAACGGAAAATTATTTCACCCACATTTTGATTTTATTCTCCCAACACCTATTTGAAACCTTAAAAGTATACACTTTACTTGCATTTAATGTGCTTTCTATACATAGGGTAAATGTACCTATTAAGCACACTTCCATATTTGAGCTCAGATTATAAAAAGAAAACATTATCATACTTGATGTCTTAACAAATTGATGGGTTTGTTACTACATACCTCCTGTAATTTCAAGTCAATCAGATCATTGCGCACTGAGATATGATTCTCCATGTGTTCACACTGTCTGGCGGCCATTTTGAAAGCTGTCTGAAAACTTTCACCAAAAGAGTAGCTCCTTAAATGTGCATTTTTTTTTTTTTTTTAGACGTTTAAGCCTTTATTTTGTGTAAGTTTCACTACTTATTGTAAATTTAAGAGATTAACGTTTAGACTTCTGCAGATTACAACCTGGAACATGGATGTGGGAAATAATTAGTTAGATCCAAAAGATAGTTTTAGTAACATAGCGCAGAGGCTAAAGAACAGTTAGCTGACTAGCTGTATAAGATCGTGTGCTACGCTAATATATTGCTTCACAGGCATTACTGGCTTGTACTTTTACACATTCATAATATTATAAATTAACAGTTTATTGCTGGTCTGTGGTTTTATACAGCAGTCTTTTTTAAAGATTTCATATTTTAAGGTGAGCTTAAAGGGTGCACGACTATGAAAAATAACAGCTTCAGTGTGACATCAGTAAGAAAAAGCACAATTTCATAGATTGTTAATAATAAAAGTATGAACTTAATACATGACCTAGATTTATTTCGCAAAATAGTCATTTTAATAAATATTACATGAAATTTATTAAAAATTGCTTCTACTCCCATTAAGCTCAGTGTGATTCATTAAGCTCTTCTACATTGAACGTCTATGTAAATACTTCATAAACAGACTTTAAATATTAACTGATGGTTGTCACGAAGTTAAGTTAAATGATTTTCTATAGCTTCTGTCGACTCAAATCTACAGACTGGCTCTGACCTCTGGCAACTACTGTGAACTTCTCCAGACTGTAAATCAGTGGAAAATCGGGGTAAAATCATGTAGTGTATTCCAGCCTTAAGAGACTATAGATAAGTTGACATCCATTTAATAAGAAGCTTCATAATGAGGCTAGTTTCTGTGTTCATTCCCATGAATGAAATGTTTTATTGGTTTGTTTCATTTGATTTTTGAATGCGTGTTACTTAGCTGAACGCAGACTAGTCTAGATGTTGCAATGTGCTTAAATGATACTTCATTATGAATATATAGCTGATCAAATTGAATGCCTTGTTGCTTCATTTTTGTGATTGACTTTGTACATTCAAAAAATATATATATATTTTCTCAATTATTCTTTAAAAAGGTTGTTTAAAATAAACAATTTTTAATAAAAAAAAATGATGTGAGCTTAATGGGAACAGTGGTGTGCTTAAAGGGTAAAAAAACACGTACCCATTAAGCACAGCCAGACTTTTTGCATTTAATGATGTGTATCTTAAAATGCTTTTGTCATTTAAAATTTAATATTTTTGAGATTAATTTTATTTTAATATAACTTTTTGTACTGTAACCACTATCTTGTGCACTAAAAATGTCTCAATGTAGATTTTGGTGAGCTTAATAGGTACGTTTACCCAAAAAAAAAACACTTTTGTTAATTTTATTTTGATGTGAACATTTACGTTTCTTTGACCCACGTACAAATACAAGAAGCCAAAGCGGTCCAAAAGAAACATGGCCTATGGTACCATGGGAAACAATGATCCGTCGCGCAAGTCACTTTGTGGAACAGGTTTATATGGGCCTCAACCACCAACATCCAGAAGAGGCTCTCATCTCAACGTAACGAACGTCTAAAATAATTTTTCTACGCAAACACGCGATATTCTACGCTGCAGAGAAACGGGATCACGATACCAGAGACGGTGTTGATCAGCAACAGAGAAATTAGTTTAATTGTAGAAGCCATGTAACTTAAACGCGAAGCGGACAATAGACCGGCGTTTAGCTATTGTTATACGTTACACTAGAAAAAGGCCAATAAAATATAAACGAAAACTCCACGCGGGCTTATGTTTCATGCGGTCCACCACCCCGGACAACGCGATATCGTATAAAAAAAACATGCATATAACTTAACAGAAAATATAAGCGCTCACACGCGCGCTCGCTTCGGTTAGCACGCACAGCTAACGCGCTCAATGACACAACGCTTCGATCACACATGAAACTTCCCTGCTGGATAAACTCACAACGTTATATACTTTAAAAAAAAAAA